TGTTCCACAAACTCGTTCAAATGACATTTATTAACTGACTGCTGCAACAAAATCTATCTTCAAGCATGATTTATGGATCTTCTTCTATCGTTCTGAGAAAGCAATTGCATTCCTCTGCAAGACCATGCTGGTTCTTCGGATGCAAAAAACTGCGCACATCCACGTCTGATGACGTCATTATTGTTGAATCATCACCTACTCGAAAGGCGTGCAAATTGCCCAGAAAAGGTGATCCGAAGTCTGGACTGGGTGAATCGTGCGGTGTTTGACAAGAAAATTTTAGTTTCGAAATCAAATATTTGCAACGATTTTGTTCCTATCTCCAACTGATTTTATCTCGACGATCGACCTCGTATAAAAATATGCATTCGACGCTGTGCGTGAAAGGGAACAAAGAATTTATCAGAGACAAAATAAAAATGGAGGGAGATCCCTTTTCCGCGGTTTTCCGGTTTGCTGTTATCGGCGCGAGGTGCACACGGAACCAGGGAACGGGAACACGGGAATAGGGACCGGGAAACAACTTCCTCTACTTCCTGCTGCGATTCTGTTTCACGCGCGCTTCCGGCCGTCCCCCCCCGCGCGCTTCTGTTTCTACGTCGAGCGAGAGTGAAAAAAAAATGGAAAATACGCGGTTTTCGAGTATATTACGTGAAAGTATCGAGCGACGACGAAGAAGAAGGAAAACAAAAAAAAAATATAAAAAGCAGAAACAGTCACACAAGACGAGAAAGAGAAAAGAGAGAGAGAGAGAGAAAGAAAGAACGGATGTTTCGATTCGCAAGAGCGCAATAAAAGCGAAGGATGAATATGAGACGTTCTCTTACGAGTGGAAAGAGTTTATAAGCGGATGGATTGATTTTACGACGAGCGACCTACGATGTACATGTGCGATATATTAGTCTAATTGTAAGAGCCAGTGACGATTCTACTTACGTCATTTCGAAATGAAAATAAACCCTTTTTTTTTTTATGGAAGTATAACCGACGACCACGAAGCAGCCACTCGTTAGAATAACGTCGTATGTTTAGAAGATACGAAACAAAAATAAAATTACGTCTACGATTGATTTTGAAAAAATCATAGAACAAATTGGATAATTTGTTAAAGTCTAAATATATTTCTTTGTCTAAGAAAAATCAATGAAAAATCAATGCGCGTTAAAATCCAAACGAACTTCTTAGCCAATCTAAAAGTATACATTCAACTTACGCTATGTATATTTTACGTACGTTTTCTAGTTATCACAATTTCGTCGAAAAAGTGTTACCTTCGGTTAAAAGTGACGCGATTAAAATCGTCACCGGCTCTCCGACTATATTACGTTTTCTTTTATTTTCGATGACGACTGCTGCTTGACGATTTATCGATACGACGACTATATGGCGACTATATGCGAGAGCGTAGACGGTGTATGTATAAAATGTATTTTAAGCGTGGACAAGAAAAAAGAAAAAACAAATCAATTTACACTTACAGTTTGCTGTAAACGAGAGTAACAATACTGACGTGGGTTGTGCACGAGGAAATGAAACGTACACAAACGTACGTTCGGTGGGGCGGGCCATGGGCCAATGGAGAATCGGATCGAGCCGCGATCGCGTTTAACCGCGTGGAAAACGAATTTTTCATCCCACGCCTTGTTCTTTTTCCTCCCGTTTTTCATCGTCCTCTGCGTGCACGCGGTTTATCCCGTTGTGTCGCCGCCGATCGATCGAATTCCGTCGTTTTTGCACCTTTAACGAAGGCTTTTTAACGAAACACCCAACTCTGCTTTCGAAAATTGTTTCACGCTTTTGTTCGTACTTTACCGATCGGTAACCTGTTAACCCTTTAGCTTACGACGATGCGCGAGACACGCGATAAAGGAATTCGATTCGAACATGAAAAGGGATTTTATACTTAACTACGACACGCGCGGTCCCAGAGAAAATCGTAGGTCAAGGGGTTAATCTGCTTCTTTTGCCGAGACAGCCAATAATTTGTTATCTATTATTGGGATAACGTTTAAACCTTTTTGACAATAAGCATTGTACCTTCGAAGAATACCAATTTGACGAATTTGTTAAAGTTTAGGAAAGGGCTTATAAAAAACAAAATGGGGCTCGGGAGCTTCGTACTTTAACATACCAAAATGAGTAAGAGCATCTGTTTAAACAAGAATGATAAATTATTGAATATAAGGACACGAAATGAATTTTTACATCCAATACATAGACGGGAAGTGTCATGATTTTTATTTTAAACATTAGAAAAGAAACGACGACATTTCCCATTACATTTACTACGACCTTCGATTCGATATAGAATATTTATCTGGAATTATCAATTTGGAAAATATTAATTAGACACTAGAATCTAACACTGCATCCATTGAAAAAAAGAGTGATACAAAAGAACGCTTCAATTTGATACTTCGTTAAAAAATGGTCAAAGATATTCCAAATAATGTGAAAAATCCCAGAAGGTGAGAATACGGGTTCCCTTGCAAATGAAAAAAAAAGAAGAAAAAAAAGAAAAAAAAGAAAGTGCACGCAGAGAGAAGTGGAAGAAAAAGAATCCACAGGCGAACGAATAGGCGTAAGAAAACGAAACAAGGAGTGCCAAATCATCCGTGACTTCCGTCCCACTTGGGCAATAACGAGTACACAAACATGGCGAGAGTGCGAACGTTGCCACATGTCCTCCAATAATCGTAAGAATTCTTAATCTGTCCTCTGCGTCGATTCTTTTTCGTGTACCGTGGACGAGGAACGAACGTTGGTTGCGAAAATGCTCACGCATCCATTACTTTTTTCGCCAAGGTTCGTTGCTCGTCGCGTGCAGCGACAAAACGTACGAAACGAACAAATAATTCAGCAGCCATCCAAAGGAAGAGAATAAGTCGCGAGCATATTCGAGCGACGCTTCACGATAAACCGGTGCTGTTCACGGGCCGACACAGGCAAAATTCTTATTTAGATATAAATTGTGAATAACGAATAAAAGTTACGTAATTATCTATCGGTTGCTCGTCGAATAAACATTATTATTTCGATCATAGAGTGAAATGTTTCGCGATAAATAAATTGAACCATTCGATAGGATAAACGTCGATCGATATTTATTCGTTATGTATTACTCGAATAAACTTTTGCTCATCTTTGATCACGGGTGGATCCCCTTGCGCAGCTTTATTCCCCCCTGTACGTGATGTATTGTGTTTGTGTGTATGTGTATGTGTGTTTGCGTGTGCGTGTGCACGCATAACGTAACGCGACGATTAACTTAGCGTTCATGTATATAATAATGGGAAACAGAATGAGAGAAGCTTCGTAAGTTTATCGTGAACAGCGCTGCAATAAACGATCGTCCCTCGAGCGATCGATGTAAATAATGATCTATTCGGATCAAATAATTTCGACACTCGCAATCAGTGCCTGTCGTTTCGTCGACGAGAACGCGTTACCAACGAACGAGATACAAAAAAAAAAAATTAGATACGAACGATCCACAGTCCTTGCCAACGGACGAACCGATTAAATAAATGAAAACGAACTCGCATCCGATTCTCCATATTGTGGACGCTTTCACAAAAAACACGACAAATCGGCCGCGATTACAGTTCTGACGGCGATTTATTAAAAAAAAAAAAAAAAAGAAATAAAAAAAAGAATAATATTTATTCCAACGACTTGCCAGTTTCGTTGCACGGTACATTACGAAGTAAGTTCGAGAGAGAATGAAAATCATACGCGAAAAGAAAGAAAGCAAATCGATAATACGAAAAGAGATCTATAGATTTACGGATTGATGGATGAGTTGCATAGCTGTTTGAGAAGTTTCACGAAATATCGATGTATATATTTTAAGTTTGTATTATAATGCCCCCACTTAATTTGTATGAAATGAAGAATTTCAAACATTAAAATGATGACAAAAACCTCGGTCTGTTGCCATTTATCCGCCTCTACACTTTTTACAATATTCTGTATATGTCATAATCCACTAATCTACTTACATAAGTAATAGTGATCGATGAAGAAGCATCGCCAACACATACGTGCACATGGCTAAGCTTACGAAGGTCTTATTGTTTAAATTTCCCCTGGATGTGGTTTAGAAGTATCGCGGTATCAAGTATTCAGATTAACTTATATGCACTGTATTTTCTCGAAACAGAGACAAGGTCTTCGATCGCATAAACAAATTTTAATTGAATGATTAAGACTGTTGCGATAAACATACGGAACACTCGTCAGGTCGAGCGACCAGCCGTTGGGGATTTAAATATCGAGTTTCTCTGAGAGTATTCTTTTGTAATCATGTTGGAAGAAATAGATTTTTTCGTTGAACAACTTTTCGACTCGTCCGATTCAGACGTAATTCGTGTATAAGTAGACTGCGGACTTTTATGCATTTATAGAAAATATGAAGCTACAAAATGCACACACTATGCAAGAATATAAAAAAAAAAAACATTGAAAGTAAAATTCATGTAATAAGTAATACGAATACTGCCGTATTTCATTTCATTTTAATCAAGAAAATCTCGTCAATCTAAATCTCAGGAAGTTAGAATGAGATATATGAATGTTTTTAGTTTGGATATTACAAATCTGCCGTCTAACTCCGTATCCCTCATTTTGAGCAAGTCTAAAATTCAACATTTAATTAAAAGAATACTTCGTTAAGACGTGTAATTGGTATTCCTGGTTTAAAAAGATTTTTAAATTATTTATTAGCCTGTTATTCGCTGTTCAACAGCTAGTTACCTCTGTCACCGCCTTTTCGGGCTATATGTAAAGATGTGCTCATTTTTTGAAGATCGTTGACCCATTTTTTTTACACAAGTCGCCTCTGCAACGATAATATTCAAAGGGGAGACGTCGAGTATTGGGAAGAGAGGTGGACGTCTGGTCTTGTTTTTTTTTCTGTTCTTTCAACACTGCAACTGCACATCTGACGACGGGTGGAGGACTATGCGCAGTGCAGTATCACATGTCGATGTCGCTGCGCATGCACCTACCGGTTCGAAAGACATGGCAGGTGTTGCGGTTGCCTCTTATTGTTGACTATCTTTGATAAATAAACGGTTACTTGGGAGCCCCTCGAAGGACAATGATAACGGGTACATTACATAATAATTCGTGAAAATTTCTTTTGAATAACCTCACTTCGAAGCCCACTGTAAAAATGTCGAGTACGCAAGAAGCAGAGGTAAGAATTTGTAAATTTTCAGCCTGGTTTTGAATATGTTTTATATTTTAAACAATGTCAACGTTATTTTCCCAATACTACACAGATTATTCGAGAATTGAAACACAAATCAACTTAGAACTCCAATGCATGTTCTATCGGTTAATTGATACTTTGCATGCTGAGCTTGAAATTATAGAATGTAAAACGAAAAATATAGTATTTTTTTCTTCTTACATTAGTATGGTTTCATTGAAGGTTCAAAGCCTCAAGGAAAGGGGAAATGCATGCGTGAAAGGACAGAAATACGAAGAGGCTATGTTTCATTACACGCATGCGATCAAAATTGATCCACAAAATTATTCTTTGTATAGTAATCGATCGTTTACCTTTCTAAAATTGCAACAATACCATTTGGCAATGGAAGACGCTTTAATGACAATTCAATTGAAACCTGACTGGACCAAGGTAGATACATACTTTTGCCAATGTTCAATGTGTAGACGCAAACCTGAAGTAATGTCTGCGATGTGTAAATGCACAGTGTATGCAATGTTTCATGGAGATCAATTTTGTCACAGGGTTATTTTAGGAAAGGTGAAATAGAATCCCAAACATTTCGCTTTAGCGAAGCACTTCAATCTTACAACAAAGCATTATCTCTTCAACCAAACGAACCAACTATTTTAGAAGCAATGAACAGAGTATCCAGAATGTTGATTAAAGATAAACGAGGTATTATCTGTGTAGAGTTGAAACAAGTCTATTGAAAATGTTTACTGTTGTAACTTTGATATATTATTTTATAGCTGATCAACAAATACCTTGGCTTGGAGCTGGTGTTGGTATTATACTTGGAGTAATAGTTGTAATTGCTGATTACGTCTTTACAAATAAACCTACATTAACGGTAGATATACTACATTGATATTTGCAAAAATTGAAAATTATATCTTTTCTACAACAATTGTTTTTTTTTTTTTTTATCGAATATAGCATCCCCTTTTGATGGCCTTGTTAACAATGTCTATAGCAATGCTAGGTTTTGGTATTGCAAAAGGATTTCGCTATTTTGTAAAGTGTCAAAGAAAATCACTTTTGGATCCACCTGTAGATCTGTTTGGTGAAACTAAAGAAGAACTTGATGATGTTGATGCTGAAATGAGTAGTGAAAAGGAGAAACATCCAAAGTACAGTAAAGCGCAAGCGCGACAAAGATTCAAGAAAGGAAAATCATAGTGTGTTTTGATACTAATTATATATATATGCATTTCTATGTAAATTTAAAATTTAAAATTCATACACTTTTTAACATCTCAGGAAAACTGAATGTCTACGACCAGTTATTACATTGGCAGAAGAATATATACACACTGTTTACACTTTATACCTAAGTTATTGTTAAATAATATTAAAATATTGAGAATGCGTGACAGACTTTCCGCGCTTCTTTATATTTTATGTTGAAAAATTCATATGGCAAACCAAACATGCTAGTTAATAATTAAGTCAATCTATTCCAAATACAACTATATTTCAAACTGTTTGAGATATATCATAGGAGATAAGGCTGCAATGAAAATATAATTGTCAGTTATTTAGTACAAATATTTCTAAAATCCAAATTGGAAGAAAAAAAAAATCTGCTTATTATATGAATTGCAACCATATTTAATGATATACAATGGCAACAAATTTGACGTTAACATTTTTACATCCATATATATATACTGTAGGATTGAATAATACGAAGATTATTCTATATCATATACAACGAATTATCTTGTTCTTAAATTCGAAAATTCTGCACTTACGAAACATAATAAACACAAACAAACGAACTAATCATAATTAAATATTCGAGAGTTGTTTAACCCCCTACTTAACACTTTAACTGTTGGGAAAAAATTATGTTTGTTACGCGGGCTTAATGTCCGTCAATAAAACGCATGTAACAGTCGAAGTGTTAAACATTATACTAAACAACGACACAACGGAATATACGATTACATATAGGATGAAGTATGTTATTTGAATTTTAAAACTAATATACTAGATACATCACCCCTCTGCTAAAATATGAATAATCACGAATATAGAATCAAGAATTTCAAATTTTTTCATATACACTTTGTTTACTGAGCTGTATTGATCTTTCCTCGCTTAAGGGAAACTAGAAATCCTAATGTCAATATAAGAATTTTCAATATTGCAAATTCATATACATATACGTCGCTACATTACTTCTATAAGTACATCTTCATAGTAATATACAGAGTAGATTATTTATAAGCAAATTATACGTACGTATAGAACTTTACAGATTTAATAGTGTTGTATAGAGACATATATATATATTTAACTATCTGTTTTGTTGAACTGTTATGTAGATTCACTTATCATACTATGTCGAATACTTTAACTGTTCTGAATCATCCGAGATATTTACACGAGAGCACTAACGTTTTTCATATAAAATTTTCATAAGTCCACACTTCTAAAAATTATAACGTTTCAAACTATTCACTCAAATTTATTAGCAACGATCTTTATTTAATGGACGCTCTTTACTTGACCATAACGTACAACGCGAGTCTGCCATTTATAATTCATTATTATACGTGGCCATCGTCATATCGATACGACGACGAATTATACTATCGAATGAATCAATATCCTAACAAATACATGATTGGATCTTCTTCAAATTAGTTTATTAATAGCATGTTACGATTAACCAAAGTGTTGACACAGTGTGTTTACTGAGACTTATAATCTTTATACGAAGGTAACATTTTTACGCGAATCGAGTCCGTAAAATTTGTAATAAAATTTATAATTGTGTTTAATAAAAAAAAGAAAAAAAAAAGAAAAAAAAATAATAATAAAAAAATACGACATGTAAGAATTTTTACACGAACTGCAACGACTGGCCGGATTTACCGGCACCGTGAGAATTTTTCTTATATTTATACGAATTCGTCAGTGATCGTAATTATACGCGAAGTACCCTAAAATAGTTTTCTACGAGACGAAACACAAAAGAATACAGTATGTGTTTTAGCGAGAGATGTTAGCGATAACACGTTTTTCCGCAACCGCATTGGCTGTACGCCAGGTGCTTGAGACTCAGTTATCCGAGGATCATCGAGAGCTCATTAAGTGTAAATTCAAATGTACAAGCTGTTACTTAGTTAAGTACACATATTCTTTCGAACTGTTTTATGAGTCTCGTTAATTATCCAATAAAAGGGAAAATACAGAACACTCCCATTAATGTTCAACGTTACGTCCCAATCTACCTATATGTATAGTAACATCACGTCATCTTTCCTCCAAAAGCATACATCGGTTTATGTATATTTCTACGGCGTGATTATAATACCTAATGGCATTTAAACGGCGCGATAGATCAGCGCAACAGAGTTAAAGAAGTAGATGAAACTCTTTAATAATCTACGCTGCATTAATTTCGGTTAAAGAACAATTCTGTACAATGATGAAATAGATAAACAGACATGTTTCCAGAAGATATTAAAAAATCAATAAGTCAGTTCTGTAATTATATTTTTTTCATTTCTTTTTTGTAGAATATCCGATTCATTTTTCGATTATTTTATGACTCTACGAGTGAGAGAGATCTTTTACGAGAAGCTGTCGTGACCGGCGAAACACTTTCGTGAGTGAAATCGTGAAAAATGACTTTTACAACATTTTTGGACATGTCCGTTCTCCTCTTTTCTGTCTCCATCTTATACGATCCTGATGAGACTATTCACGGGACTCTTTTATGCGCATGCGTTCATTGACGTTTACAAGTAGGTAAGCATTGTAGAACCTACTGGCTGGTCATTTATACATTTCTCGCTAAACCTTCGAACGGTACGCATCTGTGGATTGTGTGCGGAATTATTAGGAAATATTAGATTTCCTTCTCACTGAGATTCCAATGAGCAACGATATTATCATTCATCCGTATCGGAATTTCGTTCCTCTCGTTTAAACTGAATTATTTTGCAGCATGGAAATGCATATTACTAAACTGTACAGTAGTACGGTAACACATGTTCAAAGTAAAATTATACGTATGACTACAGTCCAATAAAGTGGGGTTCAATGATACGCAGTGCGAGCAAAACCATTTTCTTCGAAACAATTCACGATAGCCCGTTACGAAATCTCCATTTAAACTCTAGTGAAAACTTAATTACGAACTGAATATGTCAATAACTATAATCGGCTTTTACTCCAAGTTCGCACAACGGTTGAGCATATGTTATTTGTACGATCTTAGAAATAGAATTGGGCGTTATTCGTTATTCGAATAATAAAGACAAACGAATAAATATTTATTCGTCATATAAATAAAAATGTGCGTGCTTGCGGTGTGCATATAGATGAAAGATTTTATGTGATTATTTGTGCGCTGTCCCTACTTTATGAGATTTCTTGTGGTATTTATTGAATTCTTACGTGTAACGTAGTTTTATGCGATTAGATTATACTTTCCATAGATATCCACATATTCTGTTATTCTAATAATTTTTCTTACTAAATACAAGCTTCTCATGAATTATTTACAAAGTATGTAATGTATGAAATACGTTCATTTTAAATATTCCTTTTTCATATTGCTGTGATTCTTTTCGAGTTGATCATTGAATATTATCATACGTACAGAACAAATATCGCGTATTATTCATAGTATTCATTTATCAGACTTTATTATTCGAATAATAAATAAAGGGTTCCACGTATGGGACACGAACGCACTTTTATCCGGATATTTTACTCGAATCAAAGTTTTATACATATAGATAAAAGTTGGTTCGTGATTTCACTCGTGACTCACTCAGATTTGAAAAATTACGAAGATAAAGTGTTCTTCGTTACTCTTATTCATTATCTGGATAAAAATGTGCTTGATTCTACACGGGTATATTGGCACAAATGTGTTGCCTCATAATCCTATTCCGCGTGTATGACGACAAAATGGTAACATTTTCACATCTGTTTGGGAAAATGTAACTTTGACTAGATATATCGTTGAATCGTATATTAATCACGAAACAGTAGTAAATGGAATGGAAGAATAAAATGATTATATGGAAAACATTAGAACAAGAAAGAGAAAGGAAAACAGGGTTGTAGGATACCTGGAGGAAAGCCTTATACATCGTAATGGAATGTCAGGTCCGTGGCTCTTGCACTTATTGGGGGTTAGGTTGACGTGCACGGATGTATCGGTGCGAAGGAACTGCATATATCCGACGAAGCTTCTTTAATACAAGTACCGGGACAACAAATGTGCAAATCGCAGTACATTAGCACGAAGTTCGCGACCACAAAACGATCAGGATCCGGAAAGAACGTAAAGAGGTTCACAAAGCAACACGAGGAAACGAAAAGCGGGAAGCGTGGCTGGGGCACCCAATGCGATTAGTCGGCTGGTCTCTTGTGCTTACAGTATATGCGCAGGCGCAGTTTGACGCCACAGGTGCGTGTCTATATAGCGAACGATGGGATAGATTTCCGCGCCCGAGTGTCAACAATTTTCAACATAAATATCAAAACTTACAATTTCGAAAACAAGCATTAATTTCATTTCGAGTTTCGACTCTTACGTTTGAATTATTCTCACGATCTGTGAATGACATGATTACATCTACCTTAAAAATTTTTTTTTTATAGTATCTTTGAGTGAAACTGCAACAGAAAGAAAAATATACATCTTCGGATTGTAATATCAGAATCGAGATTATTCATAATTTGGGAAATGAAAACTTTCTAAACTATATTTTTAAAATATTCTTTAACTAATTATATTTTTTAAATATATATAGTTTAATAAAAAAGTTTGTTGTTATTCACAGGTTCCAAGGATTAGTCACATCGTGCTCGTTTTCGAGAGTGCAAGTTTTTATCCTTCATACATGCAAATCTTTCAATTGGTGAATTTCCATAATCTTCGCAGCAATTTTTCTAATATACTTTTTCTAATATTTCTGAAATACTATCGTGCGATTGTAACACGTTTGTCATTGCGACAAAGATCGAGTTATTTTTATAAGGTTCAACGTAATTTGAAGTCGCGATGCCGATGACCCCATGGTACCAATCGCATTTGTTCTCAGCGAACGTCACACCTTTCGTTAATGGTTTTCTATATTACCCAATCTTTCGATTTTATTTAGACGTTTCATAACAACTATGCACGTTTCCTGCTGTAAATTCTACTCCCGTCGGAAAGTTTTGAAATACGTGCAACAGTTTGCTGGGGATTCGTTTCTGCATTCCGCGAAACCAACCAACTAACGCGTAAAATAATTTCTATTACCCGTTACACGGTATAGTTTATGATGTTATCGAATCACACGATGATCCTTGCGTACGAGTGCAACACATTTCTATGAGTTTAATTACTGATAAAAGTCGGGTGGTTTTACCGTAATGAGCGATCCGTGAACAAGTGATACGTGTGTACAGTTCTGCGGTACCCGCAAAAAAGGTTAATCTTTACACGATCGTATGACATCTGAAAATAACCGTTTAAAACGCGGGAAGACTAAAGCCCTTTTGTACGGAGTTCGGGACAGCGTACACACTGATCGAAAGGTTCACAGACACTTCGAGGTGACCGTCCTCTCGGTGCGCGCCCTTAATAAATACGTTCCTGTAAGT